CATCGTCCTTGCGCATGGGCTTGAGGAATGTGTTGAGAGCAAGGCAAAACACTGGGTTGCCAAAGCAACTAGTCAAGGCTGTAGAAACAGATGTAGAGAGTGTTATCAGAAGACGAGGTGAGACCAAGCTAAAGGACAAAAAAACAGTAGGACAGGTGGAGTTAAATATTTGGGACTGTAAGAGAAGATGAAAGGGCAACAGAGAGACATAAAGAGAGAAGGCAACCAAAGTGGCAAGAAGATGCAAGAAGAGTGGGAGTTACTACAACTTACCAAGTTACTACAATTTACCAACTTAAAAAATGGCTTGGAAATTTTCACACATTCTTCATTAAAGATTAGCATCATCCACAGCTGATTGCAAAAGACGTAGAATTTGTTAAATGCATGAGTAGAAGCAATACTCCTGGTCCTTTATAGACGTGAGGAGAACATCTCAAAGTCCTCTGGTTACTTTAAGGGGAAGTCAGATATAGCGTAAACACAACGCAGTCCGTTCTCTGTTTCTTGTCCACTGTCACATTCTCTCTTAAATAATCTCCTTTCCTTCCTCTTTTCTTCTCATGCTTTTCAGCTTTCATATAAACCACAATACTTCTCTCTTTTTTAACACTTATATTTTCTTCAGACACCCTTCTGTCATCCTTCACTGTCACTCTTCAGGCATATTTTAATTTGTTACCTGCTGTAAATCGTAACAAATTGTTACACTAAATTTGTTTTTATCTCAGCTTGTTTAAATTGACTCATAAGAATAGAGTTAACCTTAATCACCTGCCAAATTGCTGAGCCAAAAACTAGTATATATCAGAATATATTATAACTAAAATATAACTGTTGCCAAATGCGTTTCAAATTATTTGGTTGCTCCTTTAACACGGTTAAAAGATTTAAAGGCTTTAATGCTTTATTTTATACAAGTGCTCCCTCAACATCAATTTAATATGTTTATTAATAAAAGGGTATACATTGGTTTTGTGTGATATTGACCATGGCAGCAGGTGTTCAATTTTCCAGAACAAGCCTTAGTCAGTCACAATACCACAGTGTTGTTCAACTGCACAATAGCACAGTCGTTTCTCTTAATACCAAACACTGAGTAAAATGTTACCATTATTATTATCATTATTATTATTATTATTATTATTATTATTATAACTAAATTATGTTTAGTTGTTCAAAAAATGAGTGATAACGTCAGAAAAAGGGAGGAAAGGAGAAGGAGGAAGTTTTTTCAAGGCGCATAACCTCTGACACATCACTTATGACTACATAAAAAAAACACACAAAAAAAAAAACAGACACACACTGTCTTTTTGCCTAAATAATTTTATGGCGATAATAATCCATCATGCCTCAGGCCCTTCCCTTCACCTCTGATTAGAAATGCAATATTAAACACACACACACACACACACACACACACACACACACACAAAGATATCATATCCTAATCAATAGGTGTATTGTTGTTTCAACCCTCTGAGTATCAATTGCTTCTTTGTGATTAAAAATATACTGTGCCTTTGGATAAGGTTAAGGCCAATGACACGTGTCTGTTAGTGTGGGTGTGTACTTGTGTGTGTGTATGTGTGTGTGTCTGAGAGAGAGAGAGAGAGAGAGAGAGAGAGAGAGAGAGAGAGAGACAGACAGACAGACAGAGAGACAGAGAGAGAGGAAGAGAGAGAGAAGGAAAAAAAACAACAGAGAAATTCAAAGCATATTTCACTCGCATTCAAGCTTTCTACCAAGGACAATCCTGTGACCAGTAGCAGGACGAGTTAGAGGCCGGTCTGAACCAGAGTTGTCTAATTAGGTCAACACAGGACTCACTAAAGCATTATTAGCCTGTCATTATCATCATCATCGCCATTATTACACCATTAATCCCTATCATCATCAACAACATATTTTTGTCCACAACGTCACTACTCACTAACATCTTGGTTGACTGAAATTCTACTTACTCTCCAACCAACTGTAAAGTGTTTTTCCTTTGTCCACCATATTTTTTTTAATTCTTGCGATGGGAATGCCGCATGTTTACACCATGTTATAAATGCCAGCAGCATGACAGGGCACTGAGCGTCTATTCTGTGCTTAGTGCAGCAGGTTTAGCATTATTTTCTGGACTTCGAGGGATCAAGGGTACAAAAACTTTGGGTAAAAAGCTACACTTGTAACAGTCACTTTTTACGCAGCCCTCCAATCACAGTGGAGAAGGGGTGAGACCAGAGGCAACCAAAGCGTCTGAGCCTTCAAAGCGCTCTAACTCTTCAGGCTGGGCATTTTTAGAAGAGCGCCTGGTACTTTCAGCTGGAAAAAAAATGTTTTTGGTGAACACAAGGCCTTATGACAGTAACAACAGTGATTGTTTGACCAGTGGGAATATGGTCAGACAAGAGCATATCGACACACCAACCAGAAGGCGTCAGCCCTAAGAGCAACACTTCTAAATTTGCTGCTGTCAATAACCCACGTGAGGTTGCTTTATATGTAGACAGGGTCACAGAAGGTTTTTCAAAACTAATACAGACTATATCTATAAATAAAATCAATAGGTGTTAAATATACCATCTGTTGCACATAATCCACTATTTCCCACAGGGAGGGGGGTTGTCATGTGATGATGGAAAGCTCTGGCATCCAACACTTGTCCCAGCAGCATTGCATTTAAGAGCCACCATATGGGCTTGTAACTGGTGTACAGCACACATTTAATTAGAAAGGTCGAGTACTGATTGTATTTGAATGCACCATTCCAGACTTGTCAGTCAGTCTGCAGTTTTTGGCAAAGTCTATTTACACTGTAATCCATTTGGAGCTCCCACCATACTCTGCAGTAAAAACAGGGCACAAAGGTATCACTAACTCAAATCTTGACAACTCCAATGGCTTGAACCATGAAAATTATGAGACCTAAAACTGCAGCACAGGCCAGGAGAGGTTAGTATAATGCAACACTGGGTCTTCACGGTCCTTACATCTCTAATTAACCTCCTCCCATTGCTCAGCATTGAGACAGAACTGATGCTCGTCTGTGGATTAGACTCATAATCCTCAATTAGCGTATCATATATTGAACTTGTGTGCTTTAGGATTTAGAGGACTTAGAAGCAGGACTAACTTAGATTGGCATGATGGCACAAGCATGACAGGGTTATTTGGCAGCCTTTTACATTAGGCCCCAAATCAGTGCTGGTGTAGACGGTTTAATAAATACATTTAAAAAAGGGTGATGGCAAGCTTCTTTCTACTGATCAACACCCACCGACTCCATCAGCACACTGAGGGAAGTGTGCATCTACCCACGGACAAGAGGCTCATGCTTGTGACAGCATGAGACGTAAACATTACTGGTGTCCTCCTCTGCTGAGCTGTGACGTTAGTTAGCTCAGAGGTGCCAGGTGAGCTAGCAGTAGATGCGTGCTTCCTTCTGTGCGGTGATACAGTTGGCAGGTGTGTGTAGTGTGCTTTAAAAGGCTGAGTGCCACCTAGTTCCATTATATGCAAGAGAAGGCAGACATCTCCAACACTCTGTAACTCAATACTAAAAGAATTTAGCCCTACAGGTAAGAGGAAAATTTTGATTTTGGGTCGAATTGTCTCTTTAACCTTCAAAACTAAAATAAAAAGAAAATTTCATCATAACTGCAGTTCTTCTTCTATCCCAACTTAGATTCTCACAAAATGCTCTATAAGTCATCTGCAAACAATTAAAATGTTGCTGTTACTGCTGTGGATTGTAATTTTTACCCGAGAATTGATGGCAAGTGCTTGTTTCGGGTGATGCCCAAAAACAAAAACACAGGTGAGCTGATTTCACCTCTGATCTTCTCTGATCATCCACCTCCAGCTGAGAGAATAATGTGTGCTACGCTGCTGAAACAGACACAGCTGCACACTGCTGAATAGACACATTCAACCAGTCTAAACTGTTTACACTGCAACTGCATGGGAAAGGTGTGCATTAACCATTAACACAAATCTGCCATAGTCACTGGATCATGTGCTGACTTTGAGCCTTTGGCAAGGTGACTGCGAGTGTGTCTCACATATGTTGCTATAGTGCTGCTCCAGAAGGTCTTTTGATAGATTATTATATCAAATCCGTTAGCAAATTACTGAAAAGAAAATCCTACAAAGTCCTACATGTGGTAAGCAAGGACGTTTAAGTTTAATGCATAAATAACATTCTGTGCACTTCTTTATCAGTGTGGGTAGAAAATGCCAATGTGAAGATTTCTCACCATTCTTCAGCTCTCCAAAAAAAAAGGTGCTGTAACTGCCGCTTTATGAAGCTGTGACATTAACAACATCTTCCACATTGCATTGTTATTGTGCTTGTTTACCAAGCATAGAGTCACTGTGCACAGGGTCAAGCTAACATGCACGGTAACAACAGTGTTGATCATGACAGATTCGCTACAACCACAGTGAACCAATCAAATAATGTGATATTGTTTCAATCGTCACACAGCCACATATTTTTACCAAGAGGTCAGAGCAAGGACCTAAAGTTGGTGGAGATCGGTGTCTTGCTCAGAGATACTTTATCAGGTCCGATACAAGAGCTGGACTCCTGGTGCTTTGGCTGAAAGACAGTAAGTCTGTGTAAGGCACACGGTGCCCTCTCCCTGAACTGCATCACATCTCATCATCATTCTTCCAGTGGCTACTTGCTGCATTTAGGAGTGGAGGCCCAGCATTCAGAGCATTAGCTCAGTGCTTTATGTTGAATGATATTTTCATTAAGCCATGTTCATTTCACAGTTTTGGACTTGAGAATATAAACAATCTTGAGACACTTCCATCTGTGGCGGTCTTGTTTCTGTGCTACATTTCAGTGTGACTGCATGTCATCATACACTACACGCATTTGGTGATAGTATTTGAAAAATTAAGCTCAAATGTCACTGTGTGTGTATGCGATTCCATTGCATGTGTCTGGTGGGCGTGTTTGGAAAGTGTGTGTGCGAACACTGGGAATGAGTGCTGACCTTCCGTTCTTTGTCTCCATACTCCAGGCCCAGTGTATCCATGGCACGGACGATGGCAGCCAGAGATTGGATGGTGTTGCTGTAAACAACAGGCTTGTACTGCTTTACGTCGTCGCCAGAGAAACCGTCCTCGTGGATGATCCTAAACACACACAAAGGTACAGGCATTTGTCAATGGGTCAATCAGGTTTGGCATTGCTTTTGTGCACAGACATAACAGCCCCCTTTCATGCTCATTATACAGGCATATGCATATCATCACACAAGAAACAATAAAACACAGGCAGAGTCAGAAATAAGTGTGTGTGTGTGTGTGTGTCTGTGTGTGTGTGTGTGTGTGTGTGTGTGTGTGTGTGGGTGTATAGGAAAGTGTACTAGATGTTCTGATATTTTGCTTTCCTTCCTGTGATCAACTGTCACGTAAATCAACATATGTAAAGATGTGTTCCCCTGGTAAGATGATGAATGTCTGTGCTATGGTGAATGGATTTTTCATCTGGATCGCTGCATTCTTGAGCCTACCTAAGAAAGGGGGTACTATACTATACTGCAGTACTATAGTTTTAACAGCTTGCTTGCATTATTAGCAGGCCCCCAGGGATGCCATTCAGTTTTGCCTCTAATTTTTACCAGTGGCCAATTGTGGTACTGCAGTGAAAAAAATCCCCCATGGCCCAAAAAGTATTTTCCCCATAGACCATCTTTGCAAAAGAGACATCTCTAAAACAGGATACCTCAAACAATAAACAATGTCAATTATGACTCTTTCAATTGTGAATTTTTGATCCATGAAAGTTTTATATTTGTAAAACATGTCTTGAGCCGAGAAAAGCTATTTTTAGAATCAGTGATGGCATAACAATGTAGAGTCTATGAGCGGAGTGCAGCCAGCATAAGAAACACTACTGCGCGTATTCAGTGGGCCACAAACCACGGAAGTAAACCTGTAAGCTAGAAAATGCTTTTTGCATATATGCCAAGTGAGCAACTCCATTGTGATGAATAGGCCCCATCTTGGGGTCCGGTATCTAACTATACCTAGAAATCTATGATTATTAGTTAGCTAGGTAGATAGCAATCATTAGCATTGCTAGCTATTTAGAATTAGCCAACATTTTTAGCAAGCATGCTGGAGGAAGACATCCTGAAATAAAAACCTGAGGGAAAGCCTGTAAGGCTTCTAGATAATCCATTAATGGGTTAAGGTTTGGATTTTAGTTAATTTTAGTTAGCTAGATAGTTTACGTTGAGCTTAGGAACCTGTTTACAAGATTTTCATTTTTGTGCTTTTACAATAAGATTGGCTATTCTACCAATTTATCCCTCCAACAGTGTGTTGGTTTATGTATCATCCTACACATGATAAACTCCTATCCAAATATAATTTTACAGTAAATCGAGTTTGTGCTGACTTATGGGTGTCTTCCACGATGTAAGTCTCTACATAACCTACAGAAATGTAAATAAAAAGTTATTACAGTAAGATCACATGGGCATCAGGGATGTTTCTGAGGTATATTAGAACAGTTAGGTAACTGAGAGAGGTAGAAGGTTTTGGAAGAATAGGGATGAGGGGTTAGAGGGAAACACAGGTGAATGATGGAGGGGTACAACAAAAACACAAAAGATTGAGCAGGACAAGGGGGAGGGAGCCGAGGGGCCATAACTAGTAGGCTAAGCTGACATTTAGGCACACAGTGCTAGCAGCAACCCGTCCTGCTGTCTTAAATGTCACGCTGTCTTTCACTGCAGCTAACACAAGGACACAGCGAGAGACAGACTCACAGTTAGACAGTTAGTCAGGCAGACAGAAAGTACAGATGGACAGATGGATGAATCAGGCAAAGTCAAACAGAGAGAGTTGACAGAGCGATGGGCAGCCAAGAACAACAGACAGGACACCAGAAAGCAACTGCCTGACATAGTCGCACAGATACAGGTTGGGGCAACACGGTAAGGCAATTCAGATAGACATCATCCCCACACGTAGACCTCTGCACAGAAAGGACTGAGGATAGAACCAGGCCCCCTCTTGTAACACATCTTCAAACATTTTCATCCATCTCTATCAACTCAGTACATTTGTCCAGTTCTGCTCTGCCCTCCTGACACCACCTGACACACCACAAAAATTAGTCGATGGGCGCACCACCCACTAATCTCTATGATGAGGGGAATTACTGTTTGACCTTCCTGCCTACGACATGCATGCCCCACCGCCAGTCACTAGTCCACATCTTGAAACAAACACATTTTCTGATTTGAATGAGGTTATGCCTCCAGTTTTCAGTCTGTAGCCATTGTATCAAGCCCACATGGGCAGTGCTACCGTTGTTTGGAAAATCTAAATTTGCTGTCCTTTGAGAAGTTCAAGAGAATATTTTTTACAATATGTATGAGATAGCTGAAGTAAAGGAAGAGTTCTGACATTTGGGATGTAAGCTTATTAATTTTGTCTGGGAGCAGTTGCCAGGCAACTAGCAGATCAGGAGGTTTCTGCTCCCTGCTAAACAAGATATAACTCGTTAGTTAAGCCCCTTTCCACCACACAAGAAATCCACTAACACCCGCTAACATCTGGCTTATTATTGTAATGGGAAAGGTTACAATCAGCATTCACACCCAGCTCAAATGACTCTGCAGTAGTCACGGGTATTTATCGGCTCTGGCTCTGATTGGCAGCAGTGTTGCCAACTTAGCGACTTTGTCGCTATATTTAGCGACTTTTCAGACCCCTCTAGCGACTCTTTTTCAAAAAAGCGACTAGCAACAAATCTAGCAACTTTTTCTGATGTTAATGAAGACTTCTGGAGACTCTGTTGTGAGAGCAAGTATCATTCTTATTCTTCTCAACGAGCAGCAGATGCTGCCGTGAGCTCCTCACTCGCCCCAAAGCACTCAAAGACGGCCCAGTCCTCCCTCCCAGCAGCAGTCAGAGCAGGAGATGTTAACCCCTCCACGTCCAGACTGCAAGTGAATCGCACATGCGCGGAACCGCTGCTGGCTGATCCTGACCTGGTTTACAGTCAGGGCGGGATGTAAAAGTAAAATTTTCTTTGACTAATATAAATCACTGAAAGAAGGTTCATTTGTAGTTCTAAACATATTCAGGGTGTTTTTCTCAGTTTTTGTCTCTCCCACGACGTTATTCCTCTCTCCTACAGCAGCCATTACAATTACATGCATATGGACAATTATGCAAATTAGGCGATGACGTTATTTAGCGACTTCTAGCGACTTTTAGGATAGCCAATAGCTACTTTTCTTACTGAGGAGTTGGCAACAGTGATTGGCAGTGATAGAAACAAAAACACTTGCATGAACGTGAAATAATTTTAGAACCTTTACCAGTAAGATGATGTGCCACAAAATATCATCCGTCTCCGCCAAAGCAGCGCTCAAACATAGTTCCAAATTAGACTGCATGAGTTTAAAAAAAGAGTCTGAATAAGCAAGAGATACTAAAAAAAAGTAACAATCATAACAGTTTCATTTACCTCCATGCTGTTTCCTACTGTTTACTAACCTGTTCTCCAGCCTGTCTGTGATGCTCTACTCTACTGGCAATGGGAAGGAAGTCTATAGCCTACTTTAAGCAAGTTTTCCCATGTTTAATTCCTGAATATGTGCACTATTTTTGGTGGAAAAGGGCCAGTGGGCAGACTTTGTCTTGAAACAGAGCCAGTCTTTGTGTTCTTGTGTTTTCAGTCTTTGTGCTAAGATAAAGCCCCATTTCCCCCAAGCAGTGCGGTAAAGTAAGGCTCAGTTCAGGGCGCTTTTTTTCCGTTTCCACTGTGAAAAGTTGTGGATAGCACTGATGGAACTGTTCCTAACCGTTACCATTTTTGGTACCCCCTCTGGTACCTAGCACACAGATCTGGTACTAAAAGGTGGAGCTATGAAAACTGCAGTCCATTGATTGGTCAGTAGCGGGCAGTCACTCTGTTCAGGGCCGAGTTGCAGCTCGCTGCAAGGCAGAAGCCACTGGTCATATCGTGGAGAGTTTAATTAGTAAACTCTAAATATGCAATGAAAACATGTTTTGCTGCCTCTTGCAGCAGCCAGGGTCGGAGAAAAAAATAACTTACCACACCTTAAATATTCTATGTTACAACTTTGACCATTATTTTAGTTTTTATATGACATACACTATTAGTAATGAGTGGATCTTCAATCGTTTATATGTATTAATTTCAGCCGGGTTATGTGAACTGCATATATTCTAATCCTCAGTCCTCACACACGTCGTGCCAACGCAACACTAAACCCCTGAGCTTGCCTGAGAGGGACTAAATGCACAAACCCACTATTTTCAAATATCCCATGGAAAGAGACTCACTGCTGCCAGTTCTATTTTGTTCTGAAAATGTCAGCGTGCAACCCTGTTCTCTGGACGATAAATGGGGTACAGACTTCCCTCTGTGTCACCAATAATAAGGAAATACAGTGAGTGACAACAGCTCCGCCCACATTTAAAGGTACAGTTTGCAGTGGAAACTCTAGGGTCTAGGTACCATGTCTCAAGGTTACTTTCGGTTCCAAAGGTACCATACCGAAAATGTTTGGTGGAAACGGGGCTTAAGCTATCCATCTATTCACTCCAGCTTCAGATTTACCATACAAATATGAGAGTGGTATCAATCTTCTCATCTAACTCTCAGCAAGAAAGCAAATAAATATATTACTATATATCGAACCATTATTTTAAAGGACCACTCCACCAATTTAGCACTGCACTTTAAACGGTTTTTGATTCACAGTAGCCAGTTAATGATAAAAAGGAAAAAGACTGATGGAGCAGAGCCATATAGATTTAGACAGGTATTTTTAATCCATGCAACCATTTCACACATTAAAAAACGGGACCCTACATTCCCCACAATGCAACTTGTCTGCCAACAGTAGGTTTGAGACTTGGGTGTACTATGCTAGTAGCAGCTAATGTGGGCTCAAGGCTCAAGCAGAGATGAAGAGTGGACTACAGAGACATGACTTGAAGCAATTTATCAGACATTCATCAGATCTCTAGAGCAACAAAGAGGGTCATACATCTTTCATAACAAATGCAGTAGTACTCAACAAGACCTGGAAACAGATTTTGATGTGTAAATTTGGATTTCCCCTTAAACAATTGATTGGGTC